GTATAAGAGACAGGCTGTGCAGAGGGAGCGGGGCGGGGGGTGGCCTGTCTCCCGCAGAGGGTCAGCCGGGCCGCTTCCTCCCTCCCCAGGAGGCGGCTGGACTACGTGAACCATGCCAGGAGGCTGGCAGAGGACGACTGGGCAGGGGTGGAGAGCGAGGACAAAGAGGGGGAAGATGAGGAAGAGGAGATGGACGTGGATGCTGGCAAGAAGTTGCCCAAGCGCTACGCCAACCAGGTGAGGAACTGCCTGCCCCTGCCTGCCTCCCCGCGATGGGGTGCGAGTGTGAACACAGAGCAGGGTGCGAGGCGGTGAGGCAGGGCATGGTGAGCGGCCACGGTGATGGCTGCGTCAGGGCTGAGAGTAACGTGTCCTGCCTGGCCGGGTGCTCAGAGGGAAACCGTGCCTCAGTTCTGCCTCTGAGGCATGCTGCATTCAAAGGAGGGCAGGTGGAGATATCTGGGTTGCCTGTCTGCTTTGGGAGACTTTAACTCAGCTAGCAGTGTTTCTGTTCTGTTGTGCAACAGTCAGTTAAAGGCTTCTGTCTCTTCCTCACGTCTGGGGCACCAGGAAAGGAGAAACCTCAGCTGATGGGTTTTATCAGCCTTGGCTGCCATATTGGTCCAAAAAGACCTACTGCCTTTCAGGTGATCACAGTGAGACAGGCTCTGAAGAGGTCAACTTGTCTGGGCTCTTTGTTCCTGGTATTTAGGAATCACTAAGCTCTGACATGTCTTTATAAATAAATTTAAATTGCTGGAATGGGGACCAAGGTACAGGGTGCCCAATTGAGGACTGTGAGCCCGTACTGTGGCCTGAAGCTTAGGCAGCAACTGGGAAGCAAGAGAAGGACTTGGGGGTGACTGTTATGCAGGCTGGTGAGAGAGAGGGAGGGAGCCCCTTTGGTGCTGTAATGCAGGGTGACAAGCAATGCAAGTTGCTTCTGAAGTACCCAGTGTAGCAGTTGAAGCCAAGTCAAAACTTTCTTGCTTTATCCTTGAGCTGTGAGCTTTCCATAACTTTAGGAGAGTTGTTACTAACTGATTGGGGTTTTTTCTGGATTTCTCTGTAGCTGATGCTGTCAGAATGGCTGGTCGATGTCCCCTTGGATCTGGAGCAGGAGTGGGTTGTAGTGGTGTGTCCTGTCGGGAAAAGGGCGCTAGTTGTGGCGTCCAGGGTAAGTGGGAGCAGTGGTGATGTTTCACCATCTGGATAAGGACCTATACCTGTTTCTCACCCAACATAGGACTGACCCGTATGTCTGGCTTGACTTTTTTTTTTTATTTTTTTCCGTCTCCCGTTTCCTCACAGGGCACAACAGCAGCTTACACCAAAAGCGGCTTCTGTGTCAACAGGTTCCCATCCCTGCTGCCGGGGGGGAACCGGCACAATTCAAGCGAGAAAGGTAACAGTGTGAGGAGGCATTTGGGATAGAGAGGGGGGAATGCCTGTGAGTGTGTGCACTGGCAGCCTGGGTGCTGCTCCTCCAGCTCCCCAGAACTGTGTCCTTTTCTGGTGCCAGGGGTAGTCAGCATCAGGCCTGTTCGTGTATCTCTGGAGATAACTAGATGTGAACAATATCAGATACCTCTATGCTAGGTAAGAGCACCTGCCTGGTTAACTGACACTCTTAAACCTCAGCATCCTCTTTGTCTTCTGACAGAGAGCTGTGTATGGTGTGTTTTTTCTTAATACCTCTTGTAGTTGCTTTCTTGCCCTGAGGAGGGGTCCTGTTTGATAAATGCCATTTTCTGAAATGTGCTGTGCCTCTGGCCTGATGCCTTTGTAGCCTTGTTGGACTCCCCATTTGTGGTCACAGCTTCTATCAGCAGAAGGAGATCTCTCTGCACCTCACAGCCTTACATGGGGGCAAGCTTAATGCAGGAGAGATTTGATCTGGTGTTTGCCTGTTGGGTTAGGCAGTCTCCAGAGCATGTCTGGACCTCCCTGTGTTTGTGTGTGCAGTGTACTGTATCTTGGACTGCATCTACAACGAGGCAAAGCAGACGTACTATATCCTTGATGTGATGTGCTGGAGAGGACACCCTGTTTATGACTGCCAGGTATTGAGGCCCTGCCCTGCCCTGCCTTCCCTTTCTTTCCCTGCTCCGTGACATAGCCCACTGTGCAGTAGGCTGGGTATTTCATCTAAGCACCAGCATCTTCACAGCTTATGGGCTGCCAGTGACCAAAATAATCTGGTACATCTTTTGGGGGTATTGGGGGAAGTAGCAGAGTTTGGGGTGCTGGCTGGTTCTTGAGGTGAAGCTGAGTTTGTAAATCTCCTGGGCAAATACAGAGGAATGGAAACACTCAGCAGGTGCCGACTGGTGATGTGTGGTGGATAGTCATTAAGTCTCTGTCTCCTTTCACAGACTGACTTCAGATTCTTCTGGCTTTACTCAAAGATCCAAGAGGAGGAAGGGCTGGGAGAGAAAAGCAGGATTAATCCAGTAAGTTCTTTTGTACTGAGAGGAAGAGGAGGAGGATGGAGCGGTAGGCTCTCCTGTTCAGCAGGCTTCAGAAGTTTTTTTTCAAAATGGAAGCTTCCTCCCCCTGCCACCCCTCACAGATCAGGCTTCAAAGTGTACTGACAAAATGGGATGCCACATTCAGGATCTAAATAGAACCACTGAATATTGTAAATGAATGTGTTTTTTTTTCCCCAGCCAAAGTGCTGAGGGAAATCAGACTGCAGGGTATCAGCTAACTTCCATGCCATTTTTAGATTTCCCTTGAAACAGAATGGAAAGCCCGTGTGGTTTCTACAGGGGCAGTGTTGGTCAGCAGCCTGACTACAGTGGGATTTATTCCTGTGTAGTCTTGTGGAACTTGCAAGGCAAGGGAAAAGGCTTATAAAGTTTTAGCCTTCCCTCCTGCTTAAACTAATCCTTGAAGTTGTCGGGATGGATGCCGGATTGCCACCCGGAGTCTCTGCTGAGCAAGAATAAAAGATTTTCCTTAGAAGGCTTACACATAGAGGTCAGGCCTAGAACCCACAGCAGTTGGAAAGTGTTTTTTGGGGACAGGCCTAAGAGATTTGGGAGCCTGGCTTATGGAGCACAATTTGCAAAGCAGGACTCAATGGCTGTGCACCCCCCATGCGTGCTCAGATGCAGGAAAGCAGAGCAGCTCCTGTGGGGTTGAACAGATCAGTCACAAACTGGGATGACTGCTCCTGTGCCAGCGGTGAAGGTATCTGTAATCTGAGAACATCCTGTTCTGACTCCAAGGGGAATATCCAGAAAACAGCTACCTAATGAATGAGAGGGTCGTTTCAGCTTTCATTTCCTGGGTGGAAAGATTTGCTTGGCTGAGCCAGCAGCCTGGAGCAGACGTCTGTCTGCTTTGCATCCTGCCCAGAGGCCATCATTTTCTATTTTGGTTAAAAGAGCATCTCAGGGTCAGCACTCCTGAAAAGTCCTTCCTGCACTCTTATATGCTTGGAAGAAAGGTAACGGGAGTGTATGGGAGCCATCTGCATCTCTCATTTAATGCCAGAGAGGGAGAAAGAAAATAAAATACCTGAAATAGATCATTCTAGGCACTCTAGATTTTGTGCTGTCTGGGCATCGTGGTAGCAAGCCATTGGTGGTCTTTTAAAGGTCATCTTCTGTTCCTGGAATGAGATTTGTGAAGTTGCAGCAGTGTACGTGCTTTACCCAGCATTGCTGGGGAGATGGTGGGGTTAGCTGGTGACCATTCCCACCCTGTCCTCGCTGGTAACTGGGGTGATTTTTTTGTAGGTTTTCATGCAGGAGCTCCCAGTAACTCCAGCGCGATATGATTGGCACTGATGGACAGCTTGGTCCTGTTGGTGTGTCTCTAGGTGGGGACTTTGCTTTTCAGAATTGCTCTTCTGAATTGCATCAGAGCTTTGTCTGTCCCAGTAACCTGTAGTGATCAGAGAGACCAGTTGCTATGGGAAGAGTAAGAAATTGGGGACAGCTATCTCATTCCCTCAGGCTTCATCTGCCAGTGGTTGTACCCAGATCATGGAGCTCATGGCATCAGGGAACCTGCCTTTCAGGAGCTGGGCCCATCCTTTTTTGAGCTTATTTGTGCTTTTGGGCCTCTGATACCCTGTGGCCGGAAGGCTTAATGTGGTCCCTGCTTGAAATCTCTCTGGTTACTTCATCTGACGCCTGTCCCTCACCCTTTCCCTCTCATGCTGGATCTTGCACTGGGGGAAATCCTTCTTAGCTGCCTCCACACCAGTGCTTGCTTCAGTGACTTGTTCTGCTTTAGGCCATGCAGTTGTCTCTTCTAACCCTCTCTTACTCTTTCAGTTCAAATTTGTGGGCCTGCAGAACTTCCCCTGCTCCTCGGACAGTCTGTGTAAGGTACTGGCTATGGACTTCCCCTTCGAGGTGAGAACACGCAGCCGGGGGGCCTGAACCTGAGCCTTAGGGACAGCCCCGCCGTGCATGTGCTGGCGCTTGGGGAGAGGCACATCCCCTCCGCCTGGAAGGGTGCAGGAAGCCGGCCGAGCTGCGCTGCTGTTCCCCTGCACTGGGGGATGGATGGATGCCTTTGATGCACGCAGCTGATCTGTTGCCCTGTCGCCAGGTGGAGGCTGCGTCCACCCAAACTAATGAGCAAAAGTTAAACCACAGCATTTTGGGCTGCCTTTACTGTTGGCTGTTGTCTGAAAGAGCCCTTGTGAAGGAGGGGGTTGATGCAGACACCTAGATGACCTGCAGAAGCAGCTTATCTTGCATTCCTCTGGCAGCATGGGGGCCAGCTGACCTTTTTGGGGTCCCAGCTGGTACTGCTTGCTGCCCTGGGGGGGTCACATGAGCACAAGCACGAGGATCTCTGCGGTGTGCTGCCTTATGCAGTGGTGTTTCTCAAGAGGTCTGTGGGGTGAGCAGAGTGGTGCCTTTCCCTGAGCTCTGTCACAGGCGCTGTGTTTCCTTAGGCTTGCTACCTCCATCTGTGTGCAAGGCACCCATCTATCTTGTGTCTTGTGGGGAGGAAGGGGTGGTGGTAAACTCCTGGTTGGGTTTTGAGGTGTTCGGGTGTTTGTGATGGCCGCCTGGGAACTACTGGGGGCAGATGGCTGTGGCAGGAATGGCTGGGAGGGGCTCAGATGAGTCTGTCCTGCTGTATTCGTACTGGATGTTGTGGAGGGGATGGTGCAAGCTCTGCTTTTTGCTTTGGTACAGAACCAGCAGCTTCCTGCCTTTGGCTCCCTCTGCTCCTGGCACTCTCTGAGGCGGCTGTTCCCCCAGCCAGGGCACCTGCACCATCTTTAGGAGTGGGTGCTGTTGTGCTGTTGAGGCCTCTGCTGACCTGTGGGAGAAGGGCAGGACAGGCAAATCGATGTGCTGCCCAGTTCAGCTCTGCAGGCCTGCAAACAGCGAGTTGAGGCCCTCCTAAAAACAGCTCAGGCTGCTTTTGACTGCCCTGGCTGACCTGGCACTGAAGCAGGAGAGGATGGAGGAGGTGATGGCATTCCAGCATGGTGTCAGTGACAAACATCTGGGAGGTATAAGCTCCTCCAGTGCAGCAGTTCTTGTGGAGTGCTCACACTCAGCCCTAGATCGGGAGCAGCCTCTACAGAGATCGCTTGTCCCACTAAGCCAAAAGCCACATTGATCTGACCGTGTCTCTCGTGCTCTCCTGGCCCAAGTTAGCGATTAACAGAAGTGCAGGTTTAAATTTAAGGGAAGCTAATTTGGCTACGAGGGCTGACTTGGCCTTCTGCATGTCAAAGCCAGGACAGAGAGATTTGGAAATTAGGTTTGGAAAGCCCCAGCCTCTTGTTGGTCTTGCCAGACTGTGCTCTGAACACCGATTGGGGAGTGTTGAGAAGCCGTCCCAGGTCTCCTACAGCTGGCTTGCTCAATTATAAATGTTCTGAGTGCCTCTGTAGAAACAGTCGTTCCCGTCTTTACTGAAGAAAGTTTCATTCCTTCCTGAGGCATCTGCTCCCATGAGAAAAGGCTGTGTTGAGTATTGCCCCACTGCGGTCAGAGCAGAAAACTTTCAGCCCGTGAAGGGGACCGTTGTGAAATGCCATGGGAGGGAGACAGAGTTGATCAGGCTCTCCCTTGTAATCCAGTTGTGATTTTCCCCCCAGGTTCTCTGGTCAATACATCGGGGTGCGGCCCCAACAAGTGAAACATGGTGTAATTTGGCTCAAAGCAGCCAGTAACCCCAGAGAAACCCGCGGTGCCCCTTCCAGGAACGCCGGGAACCGTGGTTCTCTTCATGATGTGCCACAAGAGGGAGCCCAAGAAATACCCATAAATAGCTTCCACCAACACCACATAACGAAATAAACTTTGCAGAAGGCAAAGTGCAGTCATGCTATAGATAGTGCAGTATAATAGAGGACTTCTTATGCCTGGGCCCAGCATCTTGTGATCCTGACAAGGATCAGGCAGCAGAGGTGGTCAGTGCTTTCAGACATGGGTTTTCAGAGTTAATCTGTAACCTTAGAGTTAGGACCTCATCCGCTACATTACGTGAAAATTTTTTCCACTAAATTCAGTGGACTTTGGATCAGTTGACTGGCACTGAATTTGAAGTGGGTTTTGGATCTTAAGAGCTACTGTCTACTGACAGATCTAAGTAAAACAACATCTGGATTTTCACAAAAGCAGAGGGAGCCAAAGTCCCTGAGAAACCCCAGTGTGAAGGAGTGGGAGCACTGGTAAGCACCTAAAATCTGAAAAGCATGGCTGTGAGATGTGAAATCCTGTCAGGCCAGTTCCTCATCAGGTTTGGCCAATGAGGAACAGTGTTGGCCCTTTATTCTGATGTGGCTGCTGTCAGTGTGGTGACTCAGGGCAGGGACCTGGCCAACAAATTAAATAAACTGGAAGGACTATGGGAGTAACTTAAGAGAAATCAGGGGAAGGAAGAACATGATCTAGCTCTCCACCAGGCCAAGCTCCTTTGAATTCTCCAGCTTGGGGAAGATCTTTGGAACAGTCTGGGAGGCAGAAGCCTTTCCAGGCTCTGATCCTTACCAAAACATTCCTGTGGGTACCGGAGAATCCCCGTTACTCACCAAGTGCCGTGTACCCGCAGGAATGGGCAGGATGTGCAGGCGTGGTGCTGGGGTGCTGCAGAATCTGGCTCTTCCCAAGTCTTCCCAGGAGGCAGGGGGAGGGAAAAGCTTTGTACTTTAGATATCCAGAGGATTACACAAGCTCATCATGATGTTTACTGTTCTGGTTTTATGGTTTCCTAGCACAGGAATCCCCCTTTTTCTGGGATTATTTTGCAAGATCTTAACAGTGACTGAAAATTATGGAGAGGGTAGTGCAAGAAGCTCTACTCACTCTGCTGGAGGTCAGCATCCATGGTGCAGGGATGGATGTACGCTGCTTTTTGCTCAGCCCGGCTCACAGTCCAGCACGGAAGCAGAAATCACCTCCCTCCGCTTGGTTCACCAATGCCTCAGCTCACTGCTGATATATGTGCTGTTCTGCCATACATATTCTGGGGACTGTAAGCTTAGGGAGGGGCCTGGGAGCAATTCAGCCCGAGGTGGGCTCTTTTTCTCATCTTTTCTGCCCACTCAGCCACTCTTACTTTTAGCCAAATGGCCTTTTAAGAGCTTGCAAGGCTGAGCTCAGAGGAGCATCACCTCCAGCGTTAGTTAGCCTGACAGCAGGATCTAACCTTGCAGAGTGCACCCCTGGGAAGCACAGGAAGAGGGGGATGAAAATCCCTGAGCATGGTGGGGGAGCGGGGAAAACGTCAGCCAGCTGCAGTGTTGCAGAGTGTGGAAATAGTAGCACAAGAGTTAGGTCCTAAACCTTCAAGAGTCCTGAGTGCCCTTAACTGTCATTGATTGCTGGAGAAGTTCTCTCTTGGGAAACGTGAAGAATTTATTTTGCATAAGCCAGCTGAAAGAGCTGTAGCAGCGCTGCGAATCAGGGCTCCTTGGCGTCATGCGCTCTGACTAATTACTCTCCAAATGTATTATTTAAAATAACCTTAATCCAGTAAAGTGGGCTTTTTGTGTGCTGCCTTATTCAGAAACCTGATGGCTTTTCTGCAGAATGGAATCATAGCAACCAGAGGAAAAGCGCCGGTCCGTGCTGACATCAGGCTGAAATCGTTTGCCTTTGACAATTTAAAGCCATCGGGCCATCGCTGGGTTTGTGCTGATCCTTCAGGGCAGGAGCTCTGCAGGTTTCTTCTTTCCCTTCCGCTCTTTATTGCGCTGCTTGAGGAAAAGTGATCCAGCTGGTAGATTTGGCCTGTGAATGGAGAGCGGTGCTGTTGTCTGGCGCTCTGTCATCCACCTGCAAAAGCCTCCAGCTCTGGCTTTTCATTCTCTCCTCTACACAGGTTGACGGACTTCTCTTCTATCACAAGAAAACCCACTATACCCCTGGCAGCACCCCGCTGGTGGGCTGGCTCCGGCCTTACATGGTACCCGAAATCCTCGGGTTCGCCGTGCCTGCGACCGTGCTCACTGCCAAACCAGACTACGCTGGGCGTCAGCTTCAGCAGATCATTGAGAGCAAGAAGAGTAAAAAGCTGGCAGCAGAAAAGGGTCACTCGAGCAGCACGGCGGCTGCGAGGAATGGACATTACGAGCTGGAACACTTGTCTACCCCTCAGCCAGCAAACTCTCTGGAGGACCAGGATGAAGCAGTGAGCCAGATGGAGAATTAGGCTGCTGGGACAGACTGGTTGGGTAAGGAGAAAGCAGAAGGTTCCCCACTTCTCACTCACTCATGCTCCCTGAGATGGGAGCAAAGGTTATAAAATAGGATGATTTTGTTCAAAGGGCAACGGAAGTTGAATATTTTACTCCAAGTGCTGCTGGATTTTTTTTTTTTTTTTTTTTTTTTTTTATTGTCAGGTTCTTTGCTAAGGCAGTTGTGTGTTGGGAAATGGAATGATCTGTCCCCACACTGCAGGGTTCCTGGTTCAGCTCCTGACCCTGCTTCTGGTAAGCCTCTGGCAAATCTCCAGCATAGGAACAGTGCTCAGACCTCCGAGGTGCAGCTGCTGCTTGTAACCCCAGCCCCGACAGCAGCCCCACCTCCCCAGCCCTGGAAATCGGGGCATTTCAGCCTTTGATCCAGCTGTTTACCAAGTCCTTCTCAATGAAAGTTTTGTGGTCAGTCTGCTTCTAGTAACAAAAAGTTTGCAGCGGGCTGCTGTAAATCTAAAGGCTGGGCTTTCCACACCCACATGTTACTAGGAAAAGCTAAATTTCCTTGCATCGCAGCAGGGCCTGCCTCCCAGCACAGCTTTGTGCGGTGTGAGCATGGCAGAAGCCTGTACTCGAGGCTTTTCTCAGTAGGGGGAGGAAGGAATGGTTTCGCTCTGAAAAACGCTAGCATTGATTGTGCCAAATAAAAGGTTTCTCAGAAAGACAAATTCTTGAGCGTCTTCCTGCTACCTAAGGGTGAATGCGTGCTGTGCCTCCCAAATAGGGATTGAAAAATCGCTTGCGGCGCTAACTGGAGCAGAGGAAATGCTTGTGTGGGTTTGATTCTCTGCACACCGAGGTGCTTCAGCCCCTCCCTCCCCACTGCTGCCCCTCTTACTCCAGCCCAAGCCTGCTTTGCAAGCACCGACTGCTGCCTTTCCCCAGCTTTAGCGGGGATGAAACGATTGTACTCGCTGTCCCCAGGTTGTTTTCCAGAGGGAGATTAAAAGGCCAGAGCAGGACGGCTCTTGTGATGGAGGGGGAGATGAACTACCAGGGTAAAGGTGGCGCTGGGGAGTCTCCTCCCAGCAGTCTATGAAAATGCCCCCGGAGGAGGGCCTGTATCCAGGAGGAGATACCAAGAGCAGGGATGGCTGCCTGCTGATAGCGGGGGCACTTGTATCCTGCGCTCACACCCCCCATTTTTCCCAGAAAAAAGCTTGTTTCTGTGCCAAGCATGTGGGCTGTGTGTGATCATCTGACTCTGCTGCCGCTATTGATTATAACAGCGGGCAGCAGGAACTGTCCCAACCGCGGCCAGAGCTGGCTGCAGGAGGGGAGGAAACAGCACCCTGGCTCTGCAGCTTTCGGATGCAGCCCAGCATGCTGCAGTCTCTTTCAAACAGCTGCTTATTTTGTTATTTTTGTTACTACATTTTGGGGTTTTTAGCGTGTGAAGCAACTGGCCCCGGGGAGGAGGACAAACACCTGGGCTGCCTTGTCCTTCCCCATCCCTCGAAGGCTCTGGGCTGCTCTGGCTGTGGGTTCCCCCTACACTTCAGCCTCACCAGCTGGCAGAGGACCGCAGGGAGAGCCCCGGCCGGCTGACCGCATCCAGCCTCCTATCAGCATAGTTTTCCTTCCGTCAGGCAATTAAACCCGGAGGTGGGTATCTGGCTGTAAGATTTGTGCATCCCTTAGGGCAGAGAAAGCTGCAGCTCAGGTTACCGCCTCCCTGCTGCCCTACAGCAACCTCTCAAGGTCCTCCAGCCAAGGGAAGGGAGTGGGCAGGAGAGAAAATACAGCTGAAGGGGGCTGCTTTAAGCCGCTTGCTCCGATCGATGGAGGAGAGCAAGAGGGAAGCAACTGTAGCGTTCTGCCGGCTCCAGATGATGCTGCATAGTTTCCCTTTTAAAAGCATGAGCTGGGCTGGAGAAATAAATATTTGCGTTACAATTCCTGTTGGAAACGAAAGGCTGTGTTTGGAGAGAGGGTGTTAAACGGAAGTCACCAGGGCCAATGCAGTTTGTTGCTGTGACTGTTTTATTTGCTGGGTGCGATCCCGCTCCCAGCTGTTCCTTGCCCTGCTCCCAACCGGGACAAGCGGCAGCTTCAGCAGTGACCGAGGAGGGGTCAACCCCCCCGGGGGCTTAAATTTAGTCTGGGGCAGGAGAGCTGAGTGGGCAGCTCAACCTGTAGCTGTGGAGGCTCTGGAGGACAGACAGACAGCCCCAAGCTGGATGCAGCTCGAGGGCTCAGCCCCTTCCCTCTGCACTTTCTTCCATTTTCTCCGAGTTAGGTGCAAAGGCTCTGGCTGAGGGCACATTGCCAATGCAGTCCTCCTCGGCTGAACAAAATGTCCCCCTGTCCTGGGGCCTGGTTTTTCGGTGAGGCCTCGGCTGTGCAGCACAGTGGGGGCCCTGCTCCCCTCAGGGTGTCCCTGCTCCTTCCCAGCGGCACCCACACCTGTGCCCAGGAGCGCAGCTTGGGGATTGTGGAGTGGGAGAGTGAAGAAAGGGCTGGAAATCCCGGACGCGGGTTTGCATGCTGGGAAGGTGCGTGCCTGCCCGTGGGGGAAAGCTGCGAGGCAGAGGCCGATGTCCAGGCAAGGGAGGCTGCTGCTGCTGCTGGGAAGGGCCGGAGGGAGAGGCGAGGCTGCGCGCCGCGGCGGGGAACCCGTGTCCTGCCCTGGGGTCACTGCTCACACGGTCTGGGGGTACAGCACACAGCCAGAAATAAAAAATAACAAAAAACAACTGATGTTGGGCCTCGGGGAGCTTGGCTTGGTGGTGGGCTCGCACAAATACACAGCGCAGCCTTGGGGTTTCCCTGGCACGCCCGGCTGCGGAGGTGCCCCTGGCTGGGGCGCAGAGCCCGGCGGCCTGCAGACGCCCCAGCGCTTGCCCTGCCCGTCCCTCTGCAGGCAGCACAGTGGGTGTCG